TTTTACATGACTTCTTCAGTACTTATGAATAATGGTTAAAGCTTCTGCTGCAGAGTATATGTTCATTACTAGTGGCAATGTGTTGCTATTTTCTTAGGGTTTGCCATGTCACTAACTGTCTGATGCTTTCTCCCACATGTTTCATTCTTTGATATCTTTTATTATCCCTTATTAAGCTTTATTTTATGTTTTGAACATGTATTGCCTTTAAACATAAAAATTTGATGGTGTTCTGTTTTTCATTGATACATTTCAGTTGTGCTTCCTTTATACTACACAATAAAATGTAATCTGCATTAAAAAAAAAAAAAAAGGGAAAGTAATTCCCCTGTAAAAATCATAACTTTAGAGAATAATCTTGTTTTTAAAACAAGTCCAGCACGTTCCACTGTCCATCCATTCCTGCTTCAGCTGTTGATGCAAAATAAGACAAAAATGGGAAAATAAATCTTGGCTAAAAAATGTCTGTTTTTCATAACATCACAAATCAATTTATACCACACAGTTTTTGTCCATAATATGAGAGTCTTCACATAACAAAAGGTATATCTTCATCTGTGTCCAGAGCAAATGTGTACAGCTCCAATATACCTAGCATTAATATTCTATTTACACCGTAAGACTCTGAAATAAAGGCAGGTGGCAGTGATGGAGTTAAAACAAATATTTGCTGTAAAAAGCAAGGGAAATAAAAACGATTTCCTAAAATATATAAAAAAAATAAGAAGAAGGTGGACTTGTATAAGTAGACATATTTAACTGTTTTCAGTTGCAGAAACATCATGTTACTGAAAGGAATATTACTTGTATAAAGTCATCAAATTCATGAAGCAAACAGAGAAATTTAATTTCAAAAGTAAAGAAACTGTAGTGTTTGACATATAACTGGTGATATCAAATACCAAGTCCAATTTAATTTAGAAATGGGCAAACTACATTATTGGAAACTGTGAGGGCAGGGGTCCTTTTGAAAACTATAATAATAAAATAAAGATTTTGGATAACACTGGACAAAGAGATTGTCTGTGTGACTTCGGTCATAGGGGTTTAATTGTCAAAATGGAGTTTGAATCCCGCTATATCACTATTTTGGCCAAAATGTTGTAATTTCCTTGCCATTTCTGCATTATTCTCTGATAAATAAATAAACCACACAGTACAGTAAAAAAAATAAATACAAAAAATATGGTGTTCAAAATATTATAGAAATATTAGACATTTTAAACTAGACTACCATCCCAGGGCAGTATGAGGAACATGACTATGGACAATAGTAATTAATATAAATTAATGTTTATTAACTCTGCCCCGTATCATAAATTATATATACATTAATGGGTCCACAAAATGTGCTACCCCATCTAGGAGCAAATAGCATTTTCACCGAGTTATATTCAAGTACAAATGATTTAACCTTTTGCCTGCCGAGTGCGATCAATGTTTTCAACTTTAGATAAACAGTAGGAAATTATGGCCATTAAAAGGTTAATGAGGGAAAAGGTAAATAAATAGCTCATTATTGTGTGTGGTTTAACCCCAATAAAAGCCTCCTTGACCCATATACTTTGGTGCTCCTGTATAATACCCTCTTCCATGCTTATATGCAAACCCTTTAGTGCTAGTCCTGCTGTCTCCGATTGGGGAGGAGGGGGGCACTCTAATGAGGGGCAGCCGGAAAGATGGGGACACCAGGTCCCGCCAGCAGCGAGACTGACTCTCCAGAAGCCTTGTTCATTCACTACCCTTGTTATCCCCAATCTAAAAATACTCCCTAACCAATCAAAGAGGCCTTTAAAAAAGCTCGGCTCCCCCAAAACCACTCGATAAAAAAAAAAAAGTGACAAATTAGCAGGGTGGGGCCGCAGCAGAGAAGGGGGGGGGGGTTACTGCAGGACGGTATTATTGGAATACTGTGCAAACTAAACAGAAAACCAGTAAAGCCATTATTTACAACCAGAGGCGAACTTTCCTGTTAGTATAAAGTTTAATGTAGACTGCCAAACAAAACATCCTAACCTCAGGGGTTAAAATTTCACTCAGAGGTTCTCCACTTCCTACCCTCAGGGGTTAATAATGCAGTCCTCCAGGAATTCTATCACTCATGCTACACACTTCACAGGGTAAAACGGCATTCATTCCCATTCATTTCTAGAGAGGCCTTGTCAATTAAAACCCAGCAATAATTTGCACCGAGCAGTTGGGGGACCACTGTCTCACTGACACAATATGATATAGAATATGAATAAATACATGTAAACCGAATAGCTACTACATAGCCATGTATTATATTCCAAGAGAACCTGAACCAACATGGATGGACTTTAAATGAAATTCACATAAATTCTGCGATCGGCTAGGCAACATGTGGTTTTTATAATCCTACTATGCCAATGATACTGGCAGCATATGAAAAGTGGCAAGTTGCAGATCTCAATTAACAATTTGTTTTGTTTTAGTGCACAGCAGCAGTGGCATACAAATAGTAGAACAGTATCTAAATCATGTTGGTGCATCCAAATTGCCAGTAATAACTGCTTTTGCACAAGTTAGGCTAGGCAGAAACATAGCTTAGATTATAGATTATTGGATATGAAAACACATTGTCACTTTGGGGGGATACCTCCTTAACAAGAGACATAGAAACATAGAATGTGACGGCAGATAAGAACCATTCGGCCCATCTAGTCTGCCCAATTTTCTAAATACTTTCATTAGTCCCTGGCCTTATCATATAGTTAGCATAGCCTTATGCCTATCCCACGCATGCTTAAACTCCTTTACTGTGTTAACCTCTACCACTTCAGCTGGAAGACTATTCCATGCATCCACTACCCTCTCAGTAAAGTAATACTTCCTGATATTACTTTTAAACCTTTGCCCCTCTAATTTAAGACTATGTCCTTGTTGTGGTAGTTTTTCTTCTTTTAAATATAGTCTCCTCCTTTACTGTGTTGATTCCCTTTATATATTTAAATGTTTCTATCATATCCCCCCTGTCTCGTCTTTCCTCCAAGCTATACATGTTAAGATCCTTTAACCTTTCCTGGTAAGTTTTATCCCGCAATCCATGAACCAGTTTAGTAGCCCTTCTCTGAACCCTCTCTAAGGTATCAATATCCTTCTGAAGATACGGTCTCCAGTACTGTGTACAATACGCCAAGTGAGGTCTCACCAGTGTTCTGTACAGTGGCATGAGCACTTCCCTCTTTCTACTGCTAATACCTCTCCCTATACAACCAGAAAGTTTCAAGACATTTCTGCTGTATAGCAGATTTGCTGAATGCTTCTACCTGTCCCAATTCTGTATAGCCCAATCACTTGGAAAGATTTGGGAGATTGTAAACTAGCTTGGTGAGGTCCACTTTTTAGTGCCTTAAATAGTAACTTTATGAAAAAATAAAAAACAGATATTCACCTTTAAAGGTTAAGCTTGGTGGACTTTTTCCACTTAGATTAATATGTTACCTTCAAAGTAACTGCACCTGCTGAATGTCACAGGCAAGTAGCAACAGTGCCATCTGACCAGAACAGTATGAAGCCCGCCAATCAGGAGCCTTGTGAATGATCCAACAGGGATTTAATGGTTATGTATATCAACACCTGGTCCCATTCATTATAAGTGAAACAATTATTAAAAGCCCACTTCTTCATAAAAGCGTATCAATTGAACTATTAATAGCTCCCGACTGATTCCTCTCTTGCAACTGTCATTAGTCTAATACTATCCTTACCTTTTGTGTCACTTTACCCCACTCCCTCTAGCATGTAAGCTCATTGAGCAGGAACCTCAACCACTCTGTTCCTGTGAGTCCAACTTGTCTTGTTACAACTACATGTCCGTTCGTTCACCCACTGTAAAGCGCTGCAGAATTTGTTGGCGCTATATGAATAATAACATAATAATAATAATAAAGCAGAACTTGCTATTATTTTACAGAGAGCCCTCTTTCATTTTTGTGAATGGGGTTGTGATCCCTCACTTAGAGAAGCATGGGCTTTAAATTAGAGCCTGAATGGGGTGGAGTTGAATCACATGTGCCCATGCAGTGATCACATGGAGTACAGAATTTAGCAGATCTCTGAAATTATAATCAAGGTTATACAAGAATAACAGGGAAATTTACAGAGTAAGCGCTTTACTTTAGTCCAGTACTAGGGATGGAAGTTTCAAATATGTCAAAAGCCAAATAAATAATGATTATTTCTTTATTTCAGAAGTGCTGTGGCATACTGGTGGGCCTCAAGCCACCTCAAAGTGTGCCACAAAAAAACATTGACTTCAGGGTGATAGGTTGAATGTCTATGAAATGTATTTTTAAAAGATTTCAACATCAAAATTGTGATTCACATCTGGCAAATAATTGCATCTATTAAGTCAATTGGGATAGAAATACCTCCAAGTAAATGTGACTGTTATAAACTGCTGATGTAGGTATAAAGGAAAACAAAACGTAGGTGTGCCTTGGGAATTGTTTTCTTATTAAAGTTTGCATTGACCCCAAAAAGGCTGGTAACCACTGCTTTATTGAATACAATTTAATGGGTCAGTCTACGCACCATAACCACATTAGATTACTGAAGGGAAAACTGAAGGGAAAAACTCATATTTACCAGAGCCCTATCACCCCTGGCTCTGGGTTTGAAATGCTTGACTGGAGAGGGAAGACTCCCACACTGGTAAAACTCCAAGTAGTAAATTCACTGGAAGCTGGTAGTGCTGTGCAGTATTGGAGAGAGAGAGGAAGGATCTCCAATTGAATAGTATCTTATACAATTTATTAAAAAACAATTCACTAGAGAGGCGGATCTGGAAGTGATCACGTGATCAGGATGG